CAACAGCACTGTCATGTGGATGCAAACGTGGAAACTCCAGCCCAATTTAGACAAGACAGAAGCCATGTATATTTCTTCATCCCCTCCTGATCAACCATTATACTTCCCTGACTCGACTATGCCTATCCGTGTTGTTACTCAGCACAAACATCTCGGTGTGATGTTTGACTGCAAACTCTCTTGGGCTGCACATGTCAACTGTGTATGCAAGCGAACCAGTTCAGCATTAGGGGTACTACAACCACATTGCACTCATTTGCCCATCCAGTGTAAACTATTATTTTATCAGTGCTATATTCTCCCTATATTCGACTATTGCGATACCGCTTGGTGTGGCCTTTCTGACACAACTCTGAACCAATTAGAAGTCCACCATAGATTTATACTTAAAATTCTTTACAACAAGGATCGATGTTTTCCTTCGGATGCCCTTTATCGACTTGCACACACTTCTCCTCTCTCCGTTCGTCATAAGCACCATCTCTGTACACTGGTTCATAAAATATTTCTTCATAAAACCCCTTCACACATGATGAAGTACAATTGGTTTTCGACAAGCTCAACCCGTAACGCGCTCATCCTGCCTCTTGTTAAGTCAGCCCAGTATCTAAAGTCCCCTTTGTTTTCCGGCTACTCTCATTGGTTATCATTACCATACGGTCTGAAAACTTGTTCTTCTATTGGTCAGTTTAAAGATCTACTATCACAACTGAACTAGACGCAATAATTATCATCGAAGAACATTCTCGAATACCTGGGTGATGCACGAATTTTGATAGTGCTCACTTCCGTTAATCGTTTTTCTTTGTAATTTTCCATTCATTTTCTGCTCTAATTCATATTTGCTTTGTTTTCCTAGCTTACTATTGCCGTGGCTGGCTCAACGCCCTTGTCTCCGGGGATTCTGTCCCTGCATTAGCTATGCTTGTCACATGCTATGAGATTGTGTCTAATAATAATAATAATAATAATAAGGGAGATGTTGTGCATAGTGTTTGTCGTCGTATTGTCTCTCTCCGTATTGTCTCTCTCTCATCTATTACACGCATGCTCGTTGTTGATAATCAGTCTTTGTCTTGTCCCTCAAGGGACTCCTGCGGGGCACCAGGCAAACACAACATGAACTATTTGAAAAGATACGAGCGCGGTGACGCGAAACATAGAAATAACCTGGTGTGGCTTAATTAACATGAAATAGGACTCAGAGGACAGAACGTAATACAGTTTCGTAAAGCAAACAACTACTAGATGTAGGAACCTGTAGGACGCGTCACTCACCTTCATTAGTGAAAGTGGATTGTGAGCAACACAGACTCACGTAGAATCATATCAGGAAAATATTTTTGTTTCCGTCATAAAATACCCATCATCAGAAATGATAATAGCAACAAGGACATCAAGAATGAATTTGTGCATGGTCACCACTGGGAAAGGTTTGATAATGAACAGTGCTGTGGGGAGATAATATTCATACATGCATGAACTATGGAGAGAGAGAAAAGAGGTTGAGGAAACATCAGAAACAAACACAAAACTGGTACAGCAAAAGCATGATACGTGACAACTGTAAAACATTCCACATGCACCAAGCAGAACATGTGCGTGTATTATGTACATCTATGAACTCGGATGGAGAGCCAAGGATTATTTATGCAAAGCAAAAAGGGCCAAGACACTACAAGTTACACTATAATGTCCACTAGCACCACCAGTTACTAAACAATCAGCTCATGCGATACCATTGCACGACACTGACCGACGGCACTGACGTTCTACAACTAACTGGCTAGTAATGTTATCGCATGAGCTGATTGTTTAGTAACTGATGGTGTTAGAGGCCATTATAGGGTAACTTGTAGTTTCTTGGTCCTTTTTACTTTTTATAAATATGTTCATGTGCACATAATTGCGGGTGCTGGCAACAGCAGTTTATGGAAGTAGACAAATAATTCACTATCCGAGAGAAGCAAGTACTGGGCCAGTAATTTGTATCAGGAATGCCTTTACAGGAGGTTCAATCCTGCGTTGGCTTGTATTCTCGGGCCCATGTCCCGAATTTTTATCGCTTTGCATATCCTCCTCCTACTGGCCCGAGGCAACTCAATTGCAAGGACGCGAACCTCCATAAATGCTGAGTCACCAATTGGCAGTACCTCCCTGCTATGGTGAAGCCAGAAGGGCACATACTTTGGTATTCTCAGACATGGTCTCTTTTGAAGCATGACATTTCCTGATTACTAGTAGTAGTACTCTGTTCAGATCCTGAACAAACTGTTAGGTCCCCATCTTCTGTATACTGTTTCTTAGTAAATCCTTTCTCTTGCTGGTCTGCACCCAGTACACAAAGCTTGATGAGTTCCTGCATAGCAGATGCTTGTGCACCTGTATTGGTCATAGGCACTCAGGCCTTTTATCTAAATTGTAGCTCTCTCCCTTGCTCACTCTCACTCTCCCTCTCTCTATTTTGCCGTGATCAATCATGTAGTCGTTTGTCTCTCTGTCCCTTCCCTTGTTGTTTCCCCAAAACAAAATATCTTCAACGTTCTCAACTCTCCCTACTCCAGAATCGAGAAACACCATTGCACTCAGCCTGTAAAGAAGGCTCGCCGGAGGCTATAAAATTTCTGCTTCGAGCGGGTTCAGATCTTCTCGCCTTGTCAAATGTAAGTCACACTTTTAGTTAAATTGGCAGCGTGGAAATAACAATCATAATATGCCGATGAATAGAATCAAGTGCGCACTCGTATCATAAACATTGCAAGCAAACATGTTGTTTGGTAACTTAAAGGGGAACTCCACGGAAAATGAAACTTTCATATCCAGTAGTCTCGGGTGCTGAGTTGAATGGTCTTGGTCCGAAGTCTCTACGGCAAAGCGTTCTTGAGATATTGGCAAAAACGGGGGCCGCGCCGTGACGTCATGCGGCCATTTGGCTATGTCATCCCGCTCTGCCTACGTCATTGTGGCACGGTCTGAATCTAGGTGCACTCTTTTAGAATTCAATTTCAAGGAAAGAATGATGAGCTATTCCGAACATTTTTTTGTACCCAGCAATGAAAGCAGCGATGCTGAGGTCAGTGAAGACCACCATCAACCCACCGCCGCGTATGGTTGGGACAGGGAGCCCAGATACTCTGCTAAGGAGCTGCCATCGCGTGTAACAAATGTTGAGGAAGAAGATGCCTCAGCAGCTGCGTCCGACAGAAGAAGACGAATAGCTTGGCCACCAGACCCTCGATTCGTTTGGGACTCCAACTGGTGCGAGTGTGGACAAAAGTGTATAGCCATGCCCAGCCCGCGGGAATGATTTTTCTGGTAGGATGCTGCTGTCGCTGTCGAGAAGACGGCCCAAGGTTTCTTGCGTAGCGGACCACGCAGTTTACGAGATCGTAACCTTGCATTAGGCTGTACCCACCACTGCTCTTCGAAGTTATCTCGACATGCAGAAGCCGCCAATGCCAGTGACAGAAGAGTCTGAAATTAGGTCAGCCTCAATTAGTTTGTCTTGACTTGTCTTGTGAGGATTGCGCATCAATATGATACGATAATTTTTTTTGGAGAAAATTATTGTGCACTACAGTAGGCGTCGCACACGAAAAAAATGTACTGGTAGTTATAACAAATGTCATGCATGACACAAACAAATTCTCTTTGCTCCGAGTATGTCCTGACTTGCCTTGTGAGGATCGATGCGCGTAATGTTTTGCGTGCAACTTACTTATTGTTGTCAGGCATGGCACGAAAAACGTTGTACTATAGTGCTAGTAGTTATCACATGTTTTCATGCGTGACTCATACACATTAATTTTGTGTTTCATTATCCCTGGGATTGGTACAAGATCTGCAAAGTATGGTAGTGTTCTGTTGGTGAAGAGAGCACTGCACACAGTTTATGAGCACAATGCGTGCATTTGATCACACCCGAACCAATACTTTATCGTTTCACGCGATAGGCTTTGTCAATACACCCGTTCTCTAGTATACCATGTCATGCAACGTACAAGCGTGGGGTCAAGAAAGCGTACACCAAAATAATGCACAAATTCTGGCAGGAGAGTAAGACATCGGTACTTTCTGATGAAGACATTTCTGTACTAGTAGTTATCGAACGTGTCCTAATCAGAATTCATCCCCCAGATCCCGTTTAATTCAATTTGAAATCAGCAATTATGGGAAATTCTACAAGAACCTCCATATTTGTACCAGTGGACACTAAATTGTTATGGCGCGCGCACTGAACGTGCAGGTAGTTACCGGTAGGTGTAATTCAGCGCATATGTAGAGTAAATGAGTATTTGACTATAGTATAGTCATTGTCGCGAAATGACTTGTAATTATTCTTTTATTCCTCGCGATATATCACCAGGCAAAGAGAACAAGAGTAGAATTACCATTCAGATTGGCAAGAAGAAGAAGAACCAAAACATTTATCTGTTCAAACTGTTCCTTCTCCAATATCACTCAAAAAATCTATCCAGAACTAAAACTCATGTGGAATTATTTTCCACGTTCAAGAAATCGGATAAAATACGTGTTACAACTTACAAGTGAAACCGCAGTGATTCACCGGCACAAATACATGGTGGGCACAGTACAAAAATACAATATTCATGACTCAGACTGACACTCCCAGCAGAAATGAAAAATATGCAAGTAAGAAAGGAACAGCTCATGCAAACACTAGATGTTTAAGCTTGGGGGATAACAGTGTTCATTCAAGCTGTGCAGCAATGCGGTAGCGCGCAATGTCTGCTGCTTGTCGACGAGTCTCGGAGCCGATTCGTGCGGCGGCTTTGTTGGTTGACTTCGGGTCACCCTGTGGTTAGACTGGTGGCGGGTCGTCTTGAGTTGGTTTCACCTCTAGTGGGTAACACATGACTACCGGCCTGGTGAGGGTTCTTCCGTTTGGGAGGCGAAGCTTGACAGACCGAATGCATCCATCTGCACTGGCAATCAATTGTGTCACGGTTCCAAGTTTCCACATTGCTCTTTTCTTCTTTTCATCCTTGATGGTGACGACTTCTCCAGGTGTTGGTTGTCTTGGTAACGCATTCCTTGTCCGGTGGTGTTGGCGTGATCGCTCTCTCAGGTACTTCAGGTACTCTGATTCCCATATCTTCCAGGGCTTCCTGCCGTCGTAGCTGGCTTTCAAGATGCGCTGACGTCGACAGTGGTCGGGGATCCTCTTGATCTGGATCAGCTGTTGGCATTGTAGAAGGAGCTTTTACATTCAGGAGATAAGCTGGTGTGATGATAGTGCCGAAATCTTCTTCTCCTGCAACATACGTCAGTGGTCGGCTGTTGACGGTGGCTTCTATCTCAGTCAGAAGGGTGATGAGTTTCGGCTTGGTGAGAAGCTGGCGCCCAATGGTCTTCCTCAAGCTCCTCTTGACCCGTCCAACCATTCTTTCATAGACACCTCCCATCCACGGCGCATACTCAGTTGTGAACTTCCATTGCAAATTGTTGTGCTGGCTAAATGCTGCAACTTGCTGGTCACGGACAATTTTAGCCCAGCGGTTGTTGAGGATGGTGCTGGCAACCTTGAACTGAGGGGCATTGTCACTCAGGATATTCGCGGGGCATCCTCTGCGGCTGATGAATAGCCTCAGGCAGTCGAGGAACGTCTCAGTGGTCATGTCATCCATCCACTCCAGGTGAATAGCTCTGGTTGAAAGGCATGTAAAGAGGCACACCCACAGCTTGTTGGGCTGGCTGCCTTCTGTTGAGAACAAGAGGGGTCCCAAGATGTCCATAGCTGTGAAGTAAAATGGCTCAGAGCGCTGCACTCGTTCCTTCGGTAGTGGTGGCATAGCTGGTTTCGAGAAACTAGGACCCTAGTGCCGGCGACATGTGACACAAGACCTCAGTGTCGATTTCGTGGTGGCTCGGCCTTGGGGAGTCCACATGGTTCTGAGTTGGGCCAGAGTCTGTGCTGTTCCCGCATGATGGGACTGCTGATGAATGTGCTCAATTATGAGCTTGCTCAGATTTGAGCGACGATGCAGCAGTGGAACAGGTGTGTTGTCCAGCGGGTCATGTCTGCTTTGGCAGATGAGAAGACCGTCGGCTGCTACTGCAATGCCTAGCTGTCGTACAATCGGCATTGGCGCCTCCCGCTGAACAGCTTGAAAGACGTCGTAGGAGTAGCAATGCTGCTCATGGCGCAACAGCAGGTTCAGAACAGTATGGCGAGACGGGTTGATCAACGCTGAGGCCAAGAGAGGCATGTTCGCTGCAATGGACTCCTGGCAAGTTGCGGGGAGATGGTGCCAAACCTTTTTGGCAATGAGCTTGAGCACTAAGGATGTGACCCAAAGTGCTTTGTTGAATGTTGAGCTGCGGTCTAGAATGAAGCCAAGGACTGTCGGTGTTGAATGTTCGGTTAACGTAGGAGTTAACCATTGTTAACAGTCACGTACCATTGCTTCGCTGTTGGCCTCTATAACGGGTTGCATAACCCTCCTTACGTGTGTGCACAATCTTGCTCTCTCTACATACTGCTGTGTATCATAAACCACATGCCTACGCTCTGCGCATGCGCAGATTTCCTGTGCGCACAACAGAGCTTGCTGTCTTTCCAGTCTCCTTGCCTGCAGTCAGCTTTCAAATTCTGAACTCGAAAATTCTGATTTCTGATTTGAGTTTGCCTCCGTCCTGCTTCAGAGTGTCAGTTCTAGTTCTGATGATTGGTTGCCATCTTTAGTATTCGCTTTCCTTGTTCTCTCTCAGCTCAGTCCCGTCAGACTACATGTCTTCAGCGGCCAGAGATTATTTCAAGGAGTATTATATTCTCAGGATGGCTCGTTTCTTGACCAGACAAAAGACGCCATCGGCCAGGGTGGCAGCTCAACCTTCGGCTACAGGACGTAATGTGCGTGTGCGGCGAAATCCTGTTCGTCTTCAATCGCCCAGAACTCCAATACCTCCCCACTCGGATTCTGTTGTCTCCTACGTTGCGCCGTCAGTTTCTTCTGCCGCCGCCTTGAATGTGGCCCCTGATCCCGGGGCGGCAACTCAAACTTCGGCTGCAGGCAGTAATGCGTGTGCGAGGCCAACTCCTGTTCGTCGTCAACCAACCGGGACTCCATTATCTTCCTTCGCGGCCTCTGTTGTCTCCGACATTGCGCCGTCAGTTTCTTATGCCGCCGCCTTTAGTGTGACCCCTGATGTACTTGCTTCGGCTGTTTCTTAGGTCGTCGGCCAGGTCCTCCAGCCCCTGATGGAGCGAGCAGAGCAGTTGGAATCTGCTGCAGCCATCGTGCCGCCTGTCAACTCCAGCTCCGTTCATGCATTGGGCCATCCATCGGCTGCTTATCCGTCGCTCTCTGTATCTGATAAACTCCGCGGGCGAATTGAACGCGGCGAGTTTATTGATTTCGACGACCTCTTCCCGGACCAGCTGGGTGTGGAGCCTGATGTGGTCCAGCTAGCTGTGGGGGCTAACCACTCTGTCCAACTTGTACAGAAGCCAACTCAGGCCCAGCACCGCCATACCCACGATGTAGCGTCGTGGCTCGAGGCGTTTACTGTCTACACAAGAGTAATTGTCGCGGCGGCTCCAGATAGGGCAAATGATTTGCTGGCATATCAGGCCACTATTCTGGATGCAAATAACCCATATCATGTGGACGCATGGCTAAGTTATGACAGGCGTTTCCGGCGCGCCATAGCCTCCCAACCACTGTCGTACGACTGGGCTATCATCAACTCTAATTTGTGGCAGTTGTCATTCACCAGCCGTGGTCGCCCGCCATAGCCCGCCATGTTCGTGCTGTTCTCTGGTGCACCCAGTGGCCCAGGCCCGGTGTCCCTTTAGACCAGGGCCTCCATCTGACGGCGCTGGGAGTGGAGGTCCGCCGCAGTCCAGCGCGCCAACCCATCTTGGGAAGCCTATCTGTTGCAACTTCAACAGGGACCAGTGCAACAACTCATTCTGTTATCGTGCCTACGTGTGCCTTCAATGCCGCGGGAAGCACCCAGAAGTCAAATGTGGCAGGGGACAGTCCGCCACCTCAGCGTCTGCTCCGTAACCATTCTGTGGAGACCCCCATCAATGTTAGCCGATTAGCCAGGCTCCTTAACCGTTATTCTGATCACTCCTTCTCCCACTTTGTGTTGCATGGGTTGTGTCACGTTTTCACGATAGGCCATTCTGCTGCTATAGCTGGTTGCGTTCGCAAACGCGAACTCGCCTCACTCCTGGGCCACCTCTCGTTTGCTTCCAGAGCAATTCCGGCCGCCCGTACATTCTTACGCCGCCTGTATGACCTCGACAAGGCCACATCTGAGATGTCATCTCACCGAATGCTGCACCTCTCAGCCTCAGCCAAGGGCGACCTGAGCTGGTGGCACCAGACTCTGTCAACATGGAACAGAGAGTCATTTTTCCTGCTAAAGAAGTGGATGCCCAGCGCTGACCTCCAGTCGCAAACCGACGCAAGTGGCACCATTGGATTGGGAGCCTTCTTCAATGGTCGCTGGTTCAGAGGTGACTGGTCCCCACAGCAACTGGAACTAAGCATTACCTACAAGGAGCTCTTCGCCATTGTCGTGGCCTGCGCCACATGGGGGATCGAGTGGCTGCGTGTGGAGTTTCAGTGCGACAACCAAGCTGCTGTGGAGTGCCTGAAGACGGGCACGAGCCGGTCTCCTGCAGTCATGGCACTCATCCGCACCCTGTACTCGATCTGTGTGAAGCACAATTTCCTGATCCGAGCATCGTACCTGCCAGGAATTTCCAATACCATAGCTGATGCCCTGTCCCGGAACAAGATGGATGCCTTCAGGACCTTTGCTCCTACAGCTGCGGTGCGGCCTGACACCATGGTCCAGCCGATCACTGCATGGGTCATAAACCGCTCCTGCTCAACACAGGCCGACCCACCGACTCGCATGGGTCACAAACCGCTCCTGCTCAGCGCAGGCCGACCCACTTGGTCATATACAGCTCTTGCCCTCGGTAGGCCGACCACACGATTCGTTAACGCACACTCAATTGAGGCCAGCTACTCTGCCCGACATTCCCATTCTTCGTAACTCACTCTTGTGTCTTTTGGTGTGTCGCGTCCTGCACTCGTGTGTGTATACTCTAGCATGGGGAGTAGAATGTTAACCCGGTAGTAGGTACTGCGTTGACCGTAGCGAACGAGTGGGTTGCCGACATCTGTGCTGATTCCGGAGCTGCATCCATGGAGGTCACTGGAGACGAGGCATCAGGCCTTTGCGGCTCTGCAGTATTGTGTATGTGGGCCAGTGCTTGTCAGGCAGTAGGAGCCAGTCTGGACCATGCCACCATAGGCTGTTGTTGTTCAGGTCGGCTGTGGTGAGTCCACGAGTGGCGAGGTCGGCATACCGGAGCTGCTGATCAGGGATTTTTTTTATTTGCTTGACATGGTTCTCCACAAAGCGTTGCTGTGGCCTTGAAGACGTGATCCATGCCAAGACGCATTTGGCATCTAACCAAAGGGTAGTTCGGGTGGTGGCGTTTGCATTTAGTTATTGACAAATTTGGCAGTCTTTGCTCCAATGACAGCGCCCATCAGTTCCAGCCGTGGGATGGTCATGTTGGTTTCCTTGGACTTGGATTGCGGAGCCAGGCGGGATCGAGCACACACCAGGTTGGTAGGGACTGGTTGACCATTATGCATGGATTGTACATAGATGGCTGCAGCATAAGTGTACTGAGATGCATCAGCAAACACGTGTAGTTCTAACGTCTGGGACTTTGTGATTGGGCCGATGAAGCGTGGGATACGCAGAATGCTCAATTTTTGTAGCGTTGATTGTAGGTTTGACCATTCAGGAAGCAGCTCAGTGTGGAGGGATGCGTCCCAGACATATCCACTATCACATAGGCGTCGTAGGAACTGCTTGCCCTGTAGAGTTGTTGGCAAGCACAGGCCGAGAGGGTCGTAGACGCTGGCCACTTGGTGCAAAACAGTGCGCTTCGTAGGTTCACTGATACTCTGAGCTGGGGAGTTGATGGACAGGACATTCTGTGCAGAGTCCCATTTCAAGCCAAGAATGCTTGCTGGTGTGCTCCGAAGTGGGTCCTTGTCTGGAATCTGTTCCATGATCGATTGGGAATAGGATTGCCAGTCATGTATGTTCATGCTGCACTGTTGGAAGGTAGACTTGGCCTCTTTGTAAAAGGCAGTTGCTTCATCTGCAGAATCAACGGTAGTGATCAGGTTGTCAACATACAGGCCATCCTGAATTTGCTGGGCTGTTGGGGTGTCGACATTGGCCAGGTGGTGGCGATAGTTGCTGCCAGCAGAAACGGACTGGAGACAATGCCGAAAGGCACTCGTTGGAAGCGGTACGTGACAAAGTTGTTCTCGATCACATCTAGCTTTGACATGTCCTTGTACCACAGGAAACGAGTGACATCACGCTCTGTTGGTTGTAGGTTAATCTGCAGAAACACTTTCTCCACATCGGCCGACAAAACGACGGGTTTGAGGCGAAGCGGGAGCAAGACACCACACAAGTCAGGCAGAAACAGGCAATCATTTACGGGCCATGGATGAAGCATGGTATACTAGCCGTACCTTTGTGGATTTGGTGGCAGTGAGGACAGGATTGTGTGGTAGGTAGTGCACCTTGCCTTCAGGTTGTAGTGGTGCGAGTTCGATAATGTCCCGTTCCAGTTGTTGTTGGATGACTTCGTTGTACCGTTGCAGTAGCGGTGGGGCTTGGACAGGCGTTTCGCCAAGGTTGTCATCCGGCCCCGTGCGAGGCCAGAGTTGTCGGGCAACGTATCCTTTGTGAGTTCTGATTTCCAAGGCCATTTGACTGCATAGCGCCCCTG